GTTTCCCACAAATAAAACAAATTTTTGCAATAACACTTCAATTTTTCTTTTTTTCTTAACATTTTTACAATATTGTTTCGAATTTTACAAATTAGAGTTCTGAAGTATCTTTTCATATCAAAACCATTTAAAATCTGCGATTTGTAAAAAAGTTTTCCTTAAGATAAAATTCAGTCTCAAGAGTTTTCTAGATGTCACGATGCATGAATTGATTACATCTCGACTTCCCGTAAGCAGATCAACTTCAGTTAAGTTTTAAAATGTTGTTTATGAAAGTCCATTATAAAAATCCAAGACTATAAAAATCCAAGAAAAAATCGATTTTAGATACGTAAGTTAGTATTATATTGAGTTGGTGGGTATGAAATGTCGCTATTCTTCACATTGATCTCTAATAAAACAGAGGTTGAAGGCTGTTGCGTGGAACACGAGTCAAGAACACTTTTCGAAAAAAAACAATAAAATCAAACTTCCTCACTTTTTGTTATTTCGAAATTTTGGCAACTTTTGCTGAAAATCATTCCAGAACATGGGAGAAATGTTGCTAGCGATGCATGTTTTGAAGATGACTCGTTCTACACTAAACTCCCTTGGATGGGAGATGATGGCCCATCCGGCATACAGCTCTGATCTTGTACCTTGAACAAACCTATCGAACAAACCTAGCGAATCAACCCAGCGAACAAACCTAGCGAATAAACTTGGCGAATAAACTTGACAAACAATCCCTAGCGAACAAATCTAGCGAACAAACTTGGAAGAACTCTGCAATCCAAAGTATACTAAAATCCTTATTTATTATTTATAGACATAGATCCTGATATTTGTGTCTATAAATCTAGGCTTATTCATAGACATAGATTCTAAAATTTATGTCTATAAATAAAGGCTTATTTATAGACATAGATCCTGATGTTTGTGTCTATAAATAAAGGCTTATTTATAGACATAAATCCTGATTTTTGTGTTTATAAATCTAGCCTTATTTATAGGCCTAGATTCTGGAATTTATGTCTATAAATCTAAGCTTATTTATCTATCTAAGCTAGAGGGAAGAGACGCAGAGAGGAAAAGACGAAAAGAGCAACTTTTAGGAAACGGATAAAGGTTAATAAAAAGACCCTTTTTATTAACCTTTATCCGGCGCGAATAAAATTTATCGGCAATTTAGCACTGACGTCTTGCCGAGAGACATTCGGGGTTAGAGAGCATGCAGCAACCTTATGCCCGCCTTAGAGGACCTAAGGTTGCTGCATGCTCTCTAGCCCCGAATGTCTCTCGGCAAGACGTCAGTCTTGGTTCTCTCTTGATATTAACCCTTATCCGTCCCGGATAAGAGTTAATAAATAGAGGGTTTCTATTAACCTTTCTATTAACCGACGCAACGATTGTCGTTGCTGGTCCTGATCTTCCAAAGATTCATTTCCTTCTCGAAATCGTTGAAACCATCGGCGACACTGGCTTTCCGAACTGACGACACTGGCTAGCATCTTTCCCAAATATTTTTCAGAGATCTCGAGGAGATTCAGCAGCGTTTTTGCCCAATTTGAAGTTATACCAAAGGCACGGAGACTAAACTTTGTGTCTCCAAAGGCACGGAGACTAAACTTTGTGTCTCCAAAGGCACGGAGACTAAACTTTATGTCTCCAAAGGTACGGAGACTAAACTTTGTGTCTCCAAAGGCACGGAGACTAAACTTTGTGTCTCCAAAGGCACGGAGACTAAACTTTATGTCTCCAAAGGTACGGAGACTAAACTTTGTGTCTCCAAAGGCACGGAGACTAAACTTTGTGTCTCCAAAGGCACGGAGACTAAACTTTATGTCTCCAAAGGTACGGAGACTAAACTTTGTGTCTCCAAAGGCACGGAGACTAAACTTTGTGTCTCCAAAGGCACGGAGACTAAACTTTGTGTCTCCAAAGGTACGGAGACATCTAAACACAGAAATTAAATCAAAAATTAATTGATTTTGTCAAAAACACGAAAGAATTGTAATAAATAAGGAAATCTGAGCAGCATATAGAGGATTAGGCTTGATAAAATTGTATAGCTCTGAGGTATGCTGTTCAAGAGCAGGCGCGCATTCATAACTGGACAACCTAATACATCCAGCGTCAGGATCAGAATCTGAGTCAAAACCAGAGTCACGAGGAAAAGATTTCAGTGTATTTTCAAATCTGTGAAAACATTTTTTAAAAAATTGCTAAAAAATAAGAATTGTTAGTAGATTTTGGATTTATTTTATTTGTTAGTAACGAACTTTTTCCATCAGAGAGCGAAGGTAGTACCCCAGAAAGATATGTTTTTAAGGTTAAGTACAAATCTCATTTCTCATTTCTTTCTTAAACATTCTCATTTCTTTTTTAAAAAATGTTATAACCTTTTGTAGAGTTGAGCAAATTTGATGATTTTTGCATCAAAATGTTCGTAAGAGTCTCTAGAATAAAACTTGTCCCTTCGTTTTTGGTTCTAGACCCTTGTTGTCGAGTTACGAGCTCCAAACTGCAGGGTACCACAAAATTTCGCATACAAAATGACCAAAAAACCGCTACAACTAAATTTAAAAAATTTCTGTCAGAGGGATTTGAAAAATTCCCTCAGATTCGGAATCAGCACAATTTTCCGCATCTAAAAAAGGTACTATCAGAAAAATCCGATAGAAAACGCATGATATCCGTAGAAGGGTAACTCTACAAAATAATATTTAATTCTCTACAAAATAATATTTAAAAGAGAACTCAAACAGCGCCTCAACTCAACAAAGGATCGATTTCACATCGATTTCACAAAATCGATAAACTGTCATCTAGAGTAAACGGTTGGAGGGATCTTCCTGAAAATTTGGTAACTTATGTAATTGAGTGTGCTCTATCTTTTTTATATAAACACCAAAGGAGGTTTATGTGGAAGAAATTGTTCATTGCTATGAGTCGGACTTTTTGTCATTTTGATTAGCTGTGTTTGGGAATCCATAAAATCCCAAAAAAGGTCAGCTTTGTGGAATCTCTCAAAAGCCATTTTGTAAAGAAATAGTGGACGATTTTGATGAAACAAAACGTGTATTTAAAGAAGGTTTTATGGGTGCAAAAAGTTTCTTTAAATTTCGGCGCCGACTCATTCTCCCCAACCCAATAGAATAAAAATTATCGGAGAAATTATCGAATTTTTGCTAAAGTTCACTGCTAAAACCGATTTAAATTGAGAAGTGTCCGAAATTTAGCAAATTAGCAAAACTAGATTCACAAAAAAATCTGCAAGACGGATTTCCAAAAACTCTTTCAGATCTTTCAGATTTGAGCCTGGAATCAGCATCTTTTTAGTTCATTTTCTGTGAGAACATTGTTGTTTACATCCACACTCGTGCTTTCAGTCATTTCCCCTACTTATTGCATTTTTGCAACGACTCTGGCCATGACACCGTCGTTGTACAGCAAAATGTGCAAGTTTCCGACAAAGTCGTCGGTGAAGTGGATATTTTATGTTCAAATTGTACGAGTATTGCGCAGATTGTATTATGCCAGAATAATTTAATTTAAAAAAAATGTCATCCACAATTAAAAACATCATTGACAAGCCAACATACGGTTTTATCCAAATTTCTATCTGATCGGCCACGATTTGACCATCTCTTCTTTCGATTTGTAGGTTTCCCAATGCTATAAAGATGCGTTCGAGATTTGACGAAATTGGTCCACAAAATAGAATAAATGAACGTAGATCGTGGTTTACTTTTAATAATTGAAGTGCTTGAAAAACTTCCAATTTTTTGCCTGGAATCAGCATCTTTTTAGTTCATTTTCTGTGAGAACATTGTTGTTTACATCCACACTCGTGCTTTCAGTCATTTCCCCTACTTATTGCATTTTTGCAACGACTCTGGCCATGACACCGTGACCGAACTGTTCCACCTTTGTTACCTCGATCTTCTCCCTATCGTCTATTTACTATAGGGATTTACAAATCTAATATAATCACAAACAATGAAACTTTTGTTGCTTGGGTTTGGCTTCCGAAGGAAGGAAATCTTTTCAGTTAGCCGAAGATAGTGGTGAGTAGCCGTGAGGCTTGACTTGACCCACTTCGGACCCTCAGATCTCATAGAACACAGAAATTTCAGTAAAAATCTGCAAGACGGATTTCAAAAACTCTTTCAGATCTGGAATCAGCATATTTTTAGTTCATTTTCAGTCATTTCCCCGACTTATTATTGCATTTTTGCAACGACTCTGGCCATGAGACCGTGACTGAACTGTTGACATGCTCTGTCCACCTCTGTTGCCCCCGCTCTCATCCTTGATCTTTTCCCTATCGTCTATTTACCATAGAGCCAAAAGACGAAGATCTTCGTTGTAAATAGGGTTTCCTTAAATCATGTTCCTGTGATCATGTTCTTTGATTTTCATCTCCATTCAAATTCATAACCAATGCGTTTCTTCTTTATATTCCTTATGACACTGTAACCAAACTGTTGACTGAACCGAATCTTGCGGGACCCTGTAGAACTGTACCTGTCACCAGCCTATTCCCCAGAGCCAGAGTCAATTGGTTCAGCTGAATTGCGGTAGTTAGTCCAGATCGGCCATTCAGTCTACTTTAGCTGGATTACGGTATTAAGTGTAGATTGTATATTCAGCTTAGAATAAGGTATTCAGTCTACTTTAGCTGGATTACGGTCTTTAGTCCAGATTGGGTACTCAGTCCGATTGTTGGACCTGAATTGTAGTACTATTACTGTTGGTCTGGTACTGCTTTTGAATCAGAACCTGACCTCATTTTAACTGACTGATTTTAGCTGGTTTGTCGGCTGTAGGTTTGTCAATCAAAAATCGGCCTAGATGGGTCTAGCACTAGAAAACGGTGCTTCTTGGCGCTGCTTTATGATGTGAGCTTTGTGTGATTTGAAAACATTTATGGATAAAATATTTCTTTTGTACACCTATGACTAATCCATCAAATCAACTAGATCAAATCAATAGTTCAAATCAACGTTAAGAGATCAATAATCTAGCGATTTCATTGATTCGTCAATCGACGCTCTTCTCGTTTCCATTTCTCGGAAGGTTTTCTTCTCTTCCGGCCGCTTTCGTTCGTCCAACGGATCCGATTGCTTTGGTTGGAAAGTGGATGAAGATCGTCCCAACAACCAGAATGTTTCCATCACTCCTTTGCCCTGAAATCAAGTTTTCCGCTTTGATTTTACATTTAAAATGTGCTAATGCCTTCTAGAGCTCACTTTGATACATTTTAAATGTGCTAATGCCTTCCAGAACTCACTTTGATAATGACTTCACCCCGAGATTCCATCAAATAGCCGCCAACTTGTTGCAGCAAATTTTGGGCATCACAAGACATGTGAATTTGACCAGCTGGAACATGCTTTTGCTTTTGAAAACTTTTATTTTAGGTCTCACGTTTCCCATTGCTTTCCATTCTGGATGCTGTATTCACGGTGTCACCAAAAAGACAATATCTGAAAACAACGGTTGGTTTTAGGTTTTAGGTTTTAGTCAAAAGCCATTCAAAACAAAAGCCAGTCAAAAGCCATTCAGGAATCATCCCAACCGCATCTATTATCTATCTATTATCTCAGCACCTATTATCAGACTCCGCAGGTACGTTGGCTCTGATAAATTTAGCACCAAAGCATCCGGGTACTTTTTGTCTGCAAAGGCTATGCCAAGACCAGTCCAAGACCTGGACACTTCTGGACATTTTCCTAGCTGCCTAGCTTCCTGGACACTTCTGGATGCCATTTACCTTGGCATTGCTAATCCGACCACCCCAGCCACACAGGATCCAGAATGCATTCCAATTCGGAGATTGATCGATTCTGTGGGTAAATGGGGAATCCGGAAAATCTAGAATTGATTGAGTGCACAAATGCGTTGTCTCGGATGCGATTACCTTAACAGCTCTCAAGAAATCGAGTGACATTTCGGCGATTTCTTTCACGTGTTGGATTCCATTTCTATAGGGAAGACCAGAGACACAAAGATAACCATCACCGATTGTTTCCACCTAAAAGGTCAAAATTATTTGGTGTTATATTGAGTTTTTCGGGTGTTCTGGATGTCACACGATAAATGTATCTGGTTAGAATCTATGATTTCTATGATATCTATCGTTTACTTACCCGATCAACTTCAATCAATATCTCCTTGATCAACTCTGAGATTTACCTTATAAACAGAATGTTGCTCGATGATTGTATCGAATGTGGTGTAAAGATCGTTGAGGAGGTTGACGATCTGGAATACGGTAGTTGATTCTGTGACCATTTTTTTTACCCGTTACCCGGTTTATGATAAGCTAACCATGGTTTATGATAAGTCAAACCAGTCTGGACAAAGTCAGAGAAGGGTCTGGAATACGGTAGTTGATTTTGTGACCATTTTAGGTTAAAATCTGAGCCTAAGCCTAAGCCTAAGCCTAAGCCTAAGCCAGACCTTGATCAAGCTGGAAAGCTAGAACAACGTGAAATACGGTATTGTTGTCACTATACTCTGGCTGATTGTAGGGTTTTACCTGAAACAGAGCTAGATTAGATCCAGGTACTGGCCAGGCTCCAGCTCAGCTCAACCCAGCTCAGCTCAGCTCAGCCCAGCCCAGCTCAGCTCAACCCAGCTCAGCTCAACCCAGCTCAGCTCAGCCCAGCCCAGCTCAACCCAGCTGACTTATGGTTAGGCTTGGTTCAAAACAACCCAATTGGTTTTACCTGAAACGGTGTGCATTTAGCAGCCAAATTCGTGAATTGAACGACATCGGAGAAGAAAATCGTGACACTTTCGAATGATTCCGGCTCGACCGATTGTCCGACTTTTAACCGATCAGCCACTTGTCTAAAAAAATCGTTTAAAACCCGTTGTGACATCGAATTTTTACTTTGGCAGCATCCGATACAGCAGTATGTCACTCTTTTTCTTCTCCTCGACGAGCTCAGCCATTCTCGATTCGACCTGAAATAGGGTTTTTTCTTTTAAAGTTCTTTTAAACCCCAAATCTACCGTACCTCTTTCTCCAACGTCTCCGCATAAGATTCCATCATTTGAAAGACATGGTCCATCAAATTCTGTTGACTTCCGTTTATCTCGGCCATCGATCGGATGATTGTCCTGATGGTGGTGATTGTTGGCCGACTTTGCGGGGTTTCCGACCAACAGTCGCGAATCATGTGAAGCTGGAACGCACAGGAGATGTTGAGAGGAAAAAGAACTACTTCTAGTCAAAGCTAACAATTTCTAGACATTTCTCTTCCGTCTATAGGTGTCCAACGTCTATAGATGTCAAACGTACTTTCAGGCTATAGCTTTTTACAGATTTCTCGGGAGTGGGACAAATGCGACCTTTTTTTGCGCACCCGGCCATTTGCGCACCTTTTTGTTGGTGCACCCGGGACATTTCCGTACCTTTTTAGCGCACTTTTTAGCTTTTTTAGCGCATCCACGCTTTGGAAAGTGCACCACGCCGCTTTCGCGCCAATCCCTTAAAACTACACGTTAATAGGAATCTAACAAAATGATTATATGGGTCTAGGGCAGTCGTTGTTATAGGAAAAGGTGCGGAAAAAAGGTGCGCAAATGTCCCAGGTGCGCAAAAAAAAGGTCGCATTTGTCCCACTCCCGATTTCTCTAGTCGATCTGATCTTTAATGTCATTCTATGCACATTTGCTATCTATTAACACTCCAGTCACGTAAAAATTTGATAAGTTTATCAAAAGTTTATGACAAAAAGTACTTTATATACTTATTGACGGATGTATCTGGGAATCATTTAAATAATGAAAGAATTTGCATTTAAAGATACCAGTGCTGGATTGAGTTCGATATCCTCCGGTATATCCAAATCGGGTCTCATCGGCATCGATCCGCCCTTCTTTATCATATATAAGAGCTCTAAAATTAACTTTTTTCTTATCTTTCATTCTAAAGACTATCTTCTTTCTAATCTTCTAAAGACTATCTTCTAAAGACTATCTTCTTCTAAAGACTATCTTCTAAAGACTATCTTCTTTCTAATCTTCTAAAGACTATCTCCTAAAGACCATCTTCTTCTAAAGACTATCTTCTTTCTATCCAAAATTCGCATTTACCCTCAATCTTCTCATTTCGATTCTCCAAATCGTAAACGATCTCTGATCTGATCTGATCGTAAACGATTTGGTGAATCGAAATGAGAAGATTCAAGGTTCAGAGATGGTCATTAGGAGTTCTGGAACCCGATTTTAAACCCAAATCAATTTCCTTTACCTTCAATCTTCTCATTTCGATTCTCCAAATCGTACACGCCTTTCCTAGTGACGATCTCCGAACAGATTATCGCAAAAGCATAAACATCGGCTTCTTTGTTTCCTAGGCCATCTGAGTAGCGGAGAAGCTCGGGTGCATGCCATAATTGCTCTGGAAATATGAATTTAATATTTTCACCATATCTGTCTCACTTCGCTTGTCGACTTTTTCGCCTCTCCTCAGACTCGAGCATCCATAGCTGCTCACTTTCAACTGCCACCTTTCATCGATCCAACAAGTCGATGAGCTGAAAGATGAGTTCCAGATTGGGTTTCTGTGAATTTCTAGACTTTAGATTCCCATGGAGACCCAGGAATGACTTGTGGATGAAGCTCAACCCCTCCGAGAGGTCACGAATCAATGACATGGCAAAGAAAGCATCCAAAGTGATTGTAGATTCTGAGATCACTTCCTGAAACTTGAAATTTCCACATTTAAAGGCAATAAAGCCAATAAACAACCTCAAGGGTTCCCCTACTGGCAAATTTCCAAATTGACATCATTGGAGAGTGATCGTGGCAAATCCCGATGAACCGGTGCACGTTGTCGTGTTCCATTTTTCGGAGCTGAAATTCTGGATGTCAGAAATAGTTGTTCACTGTTTTTGTGGGGCAATTTTGGTTACTATTTATACTATTTATTACTAGGGAATTACTATTTATACTAGACTTCGGAAAACAAGACTTAACCAAAACCAAAACTAACCAAAACTCGCCAATATCTCGCGACTGGGAGGAGCTAGCGAAAATCTGTTTGCAGATTTGAAATCAGCATCCAAAAATCTATCCCATAGGCTATTTTTTGTTTCGAAATTTCGAGGTCGTGTTTGTTTTGGTCCTGGTTTTGGTTTTGGTTTTGGTTTTGGTCTGTTTTGGTTTTGTTTGCCGAACTCTAATTTATACTATTTATTTCATCACCCATAAAAAGCTTTACCCGAAAATCCCAATATGGGTTTTCTAAAACGCTTTTTTGAGAAATCATCGTGCAGAAACTTTTTCCGAGAACTTTCTTTCCAACCTAATACATATTCCGGCAGTTAAATGCTAATCCCCAGTATATAAAGCTACTAATAACGTTGCTTACATCTTCGAGGCTGGATCAGTCTATCCACATCAAGAAAAAAAGTCACTCACCAGTCTGAACTCGGCAAAATCCTCATTCGTCAGCTTTGGCAGCATTTTGTACTTGTACGCCATCACCGGCTCACCTGAAAAGCGGAAATTTCTAAAAGCTATGGAAAATTGTAACCTTCAAACCAGAAATACGCAAGAAGCATTTCCGCTTCACCCTTTGCGCCTACTGAGAATTTCGAATGTGAGGACTTGGAGGATTTGGAGGAACGCAGGGGAGAGTGCATGCTTTCTCTTCCATCTGAAAGTTCATTCTGGATGTCAACTTGAGATTTGGTGATAGAATTGGGGAGTACTTGATCATTAGTTTTCGTTCGTTCGTCCGTTACAAGCCTACTTTCTACTTTCTAGCAAAATCGCTTTCTATAAAAAGTTAAGACAAGTGTTACAGTACCCTACTACCGTACCGCTGGCCAAGCTGGCCAAGCCAAGGCACATTGGCCAAGCCAAGGTACATTGGGCATGCCAAGGCAACATTGGCCGCTAGGGGCACCCAGTAGACACTGGCCAAGCTACTGTACCCTTCTAGGAAAATTTACAGTAAACTACCGTACCCTACTGTTCCTTCCATTTGGTCTCTCCACTGGAAGATATGGCACAGTCCATCCGGAATCTCTTCTCTCCACTCCCTTGCGCTCTTTCTCTGAAATTTCTCTTGTTCCCTTTATTCTTGATTTCACACCTCAAAACATAGCATCCAAGGAATGTGAACAAAATGAGAACAATCAAAACGACGCCGACTCCGATACAAATGTACAACCCGTTTTGTTGCCATGTTGACAATGGGCAACCGGTGCCGAGAAAGCTGGAATGGAGAAATTGGATATGTACCGTAGTCCAGAAGTCTGTAGTACACTATAGTACAGGCTACAGCAACCTCCCTAGTTAGCTAGAGCAACCTCTACAGCTACAGCAACCCCCTAATGGCTACAGCAACCTCTACAGCTACAGCAACTAGATCGAACCCGCAAGCCGGAGTCGCTAGTGGTCTGACACCGCCTCGTAAAGCCCAAATCGAGGAAGCTTCGTCGAGATATAGCGGAGTGGCGACCTAAAGTCATTATTCGAACTCTGATGAGCTACAAGTACGAGCCAGAGCTGGGTTCAGGCTTCAAGAATCGGATTTTAATCTCGTTAATCCCGTGGTGAATCCCATTTTGCCCATAGAAGCGTTCAACAGCGTTCAACTCCAATTGCAAGCTCCAAATTCCACTCACCATGTAACCCTTGTCCCGGTCCAGGTAAAGTTCATAAATCTCGTCGTCGACTGTCCATCGGCACATCATTCCATAGTGATAGAAACGGGGGACTCGAGTCACGTTTGGTGTCATTTGAATCATCCCGGACCAGCCTGGAAATCATAGATTCACGGTTTAATTATATATAGTACTACAGTAGAGAGCTGTACTCTTACAGTCGACACTTCTCTACAGTACAAGCTACAATAGTCTACACTGAACTACTATGAGCAACGATTAGATTAGACGATCGAATCAGGATCTCTACAAACCACATTTAAACCACTGAACTTTTTAGAATTCACTTTTCGGTGTACTTAGATACTTCACTCAAAAGCTCTGAGATTCTCATTTTTTGAGTTATAGATCGTGCAAGTAACCCACTAGATTTAAAGCCAAGTTAGAAGTGTTTGTAGTTCGTAGTGCAGAAGCTTAAGCAGTATCCCGGTAGCTCTTCAAGTTGCTTTAGTCACCAGTCTTACCCGGGAACGAGACAGTCGTGCGAACCATGTTGAACACAGTCTCATTCCTTCCGCCATTTATCGGATCAAGTGCCCAAGATGCATTCAAACAATAGGCGAAATACATGAAAGCATCGTAGAGTTGAGGAGCGAATGAACCGATCTGTAGAAAGGCATTTTGGATCATTTCTTTCGGATCATTTTTGATCATTTCTTTCGGAATTACCCCATTATATTGATTGTTGTTGAGGCAGTCTGTCGTATCGCAATAGAATGGATCTCCGCGGATGTTCGCCAGCACTTGTGGAGCCAATTGAGCTGTTGTCATGCTGTTCACTGTTCCTTGGTTGTCAAACCGACCTGGGGAATTCTGATTTGAGCTTGTCTCATTGAAACCGGAGCACAGAATCCTAAAAATCTCGGGGACAGATGCTCAAATTTAGCGCCCAATCAATCTTGCACAAATCTCTAGAATAGCTTAACAGAACGCAGCATTTGTATCAGAAATACAGGGCAACGGCGCCCAAAACAACTGTCATAATACTATCGTAAGGTTAAAATAGAGTGCAACTCGAGCGGTTAAACACAAAGTAAACGAAATGTAAAATGAAACAAAGGGCGGGATCGAACCCAAGCCAAACAATCGACAGCTTGTTTTGAAACAAGGCACTTATCCACTACACCACAGGTCCACGTTTGGAGAGGGTGAAAGAGACGTTGTCAAGGGGACCTCTATCGGGCCCGTGTGCCAGGCAGCGAGCGATTACCCGGCCGCACAAAGAACACCTCGCTTGGAGAGGGTCAAAGAGACGTTGTCAAGGGGACTCGAACGGGCCCGCTGTGCGAGGCAGCGAGCGATTGGACCCGGCCGCACAAAGAACACCTCCCTTGGAGAGGGGGAAGAGAGACGCTGGTGGCGAGGGATCCCGTATCGGGGCCGTGTGCCAGGCAGCGAGCGACTACCCGGCCGCACAAAGAAATACCTTGCTTGGTGAGGGCCAAATGAGACGTTCTCAAGGAATCTATCGAGATCCCGGGTGCCAGGGCAGCGAGCGACTACCCCGGCCGCACAAAGAACACCTCGCACATTTACGATTTTATCTTTTGCATTGTAAATGGCATAAAAGCCAAAGATATTCAGCTGTAAATTGCAATCTAAGGTTTTCGGGGACGGAGAATCGATTGGAGCTATTCATTTTATTGAGTTTACCAATTCAAACTCGGGTTTGGTCAATAAATAACTAACTTTAAATTCTGAGCGTCTTTTCCTTGATTTTCACTGTCCTTGGTTGTTCAAATCGATCCGATCTGAAATCTCGTACTGGAGGCAGGATAGGTCTCTTCAGATTTCGGGTCAGATTTTCTCAGATTTAGATGACTATTAGATCTGGATTATCTGCAAGATTTGAGGATTTAAGGATCGACCATTTATCTTGCTCTTAACTTGCTCAGGATTCAGCCTTGAACCTGGAAAATCTGTCCTGGAATGCACGAGAAAATTGTAAGAATTTTTGAAAGCTCAAATTTGAATTTTTGGGCCAATCCCAAAAATCTCACCACAAGGAATCTCGTGGCAGCCCTTTGCGCAACAATGTTCATTCCATCTTGATTATTGTTGATTGTATCGATCCACATCGGGGTCAACCCATTCGATACTAAAATGTTTGGATAAATGTTACTGATGGGGGGTGAAAGTAGGCCCTGACTTAAGGCCCTGACTTAAGGCCCAATAGCTTTCTGGCTTTTTGGATTCTAGAGCTTTGGATCACTACCGTACACCTAAATGAAAATAATTTGGTCTAAATTCACCTGATCAAATCTGAAAACCTCTCACAAGTTTGTGTTCCCGGTGGTCCTTGTCCCAGTTGACCATCCCAAAGCCTCCTTAAGATCCAAAAAACATACACGTAGTCGGAGCTAAAATTCTTTGGCATTAGTTTTGCAGAGGGAAATCCCTCAATTTGGAAAGATTTGAACGGGATTTGTGGTGAAATTCAATCTTTTTTTCAAATTCTTTTCAATTTTTCAATCTTTCAATCTTTTTTCAACCCACGTATTCATCCCGGTCAAAGTGGTGGCGATGAGAAAGTCCCTCTTAAAGCGACCTTCTGGCAAACAAACGGCGATTACTGAAAAGAAGTGAAATGTTCGTAATCGATAGGGAACTTCAAGCACTTCATAGTCATTTCAAGAACGTTTCTGGAAACGGAACAAGGGAACGCAAGGAATAAGTTTCAGAAGCTTATCAAAATAAGTTTCAGCGCAAAAATCTATACAAATATAAGGCTTCTTTCACCGTCTCGAAATTTCAGCTTTTGGTCTAGTGGATATTGTTTCCGAAGCAAGTCATCTTTGCTCTTTGCTCGGGTTCGTTTCTTCCTTTTGTTTTTCAACTTCAAACCCTTCATAGTCATTTCAAGAACGTTTCTGGAAACGGAAGAAGAAAAGGTCACAAGGCTGAGGTGGTCAAATGACATTGTCAAATGGCATTGCCAAATGACATTGTCAAATGGCATTGCCAAATGACATTGTCAAATGGCATTGCCAAATGACACTGATTCCGATGCTGCTATCCGTTTTTGCAAAATGATTCGGAAACGCGAGAAATCTAGTAAACTAGTTTGAGGTCAAAAATCAATCCTTATACCTTGATGTTTAACCGCTTGATACTGGATTAAAAACTTGGTGACTGGCTTCGGAAACTAGATAAACTAAGCCTATATACACTACTGGACAATGAAATATGATATTTGAAAAACGATCGTCACTTTCGCACGTCTGTAACACTTCATAGTCATTTCAAGAGCGTTTCTGGAAAAGGAACAAGGGAACGCAAGGAATCTATCACTGTTAGAGAAAGGAAATCTCAAAATCTTTGCTCTGGTTGGGATTTGGAACTATTTTTGAAATTGAAATCCTTGAAACATTCGATTTTTTTTTTGAATAACGAATAATAAAATGAATCAGTTTTAAGTTTAAATCCTGTTTATTTCCCCGAGAAGCCTCGAGGCTTTCTTTTCTGAGAATTCTGAGAATTTTGAAAAATTCTTGATCTTGAGAATAAAAAAAATTGTGACGATGGAGGATGGGGATTTCAAAAAAGTTTCAAAAATTACAAAAATAATGAACAATTTCGTAAACAAACCAACTCCTCTGGCTTTCTGATTTGATCTTGAGAAGCGCTGCAACCATTTGTTGCTGGCTATGTTCAATTTCCAGCCGTTGACTGCTTGTGATCGTTGATGAGTTGAACGCCGGATCGTTCACAGTATCCTAAATCTCAAAATTTGGTTAAAAAAATGGTTTAAAAATGTGTTGTGCGTTCAGGCTTGCACAAATTATCATTTTTTCTCACCGTCACTGCTCATCATTGTTGGGCAATTGTTGTAAACTGAGTGCATCTCCAAAAGATCAGAGCCACGTGTCCCTAGAATTATTTTTAAAAGAAAATTCGGAAATTCTCACCATCTGAACATTGCGTCAAGGCGACGAATGAGTAGCCGAGTCTAAAAAATGGTTAGTTCAGATATAAAAAACAGATAACTCACTGTCGAAAAGTTGGGACTACTGTAGTCACGTAGTGAAGCGGGTATTGTCAGCAAGAGTCGCTGCTGAGGCGAAACCCCAAACAACCTGGAAGATGGTGTCACAAAAGCTTAGATGTTTTTGGGCCAGATGTAAAGATATTGTAAAATCTCACTACCAGCCCTAAAGCTACCGTAAATATTGTAATATACCCCACCCCCATAATGACGGTGGTGAGCGTTGCGTCGTCTAGCTTAGAACGCGTTTTCTTGACACTGGTTTATGTTACAAAGGTGCCGAGGTATCAAATGATAGCCGAATTCAGAGCTATTTTCTGATACCAAAGTGCACATTGTAGCATAAAATGAGCGTAAGAACGGGATGTTTAAAGTTAGACTACGCAAACTATCCCTTGAAAAAACGCGTTTTAAGACACTCGTTTATGCTACAATGCTTGGTTTAGGTATCAAAAATAGCCCTGAATTTCAGCTATTTTTGATAAATATGTTGTAGCATTGTAGCATAAACCAGTGTCGAGAAAAACACGTTCAAAGCTAGACTACGCAGCACCTGCACCGTCATTATCGGGGTGGGGTACTATTACAGTATTTACGGTAGGCATTTTTAAAATTTTTTGAGTTTCAATTGATCGACTTAATAAAATGAATGCCTACTGGATTTTTCTAACCTGAACTGTTTGAAAGTATGAGCTGAGAAAGCCGACTGGTGGAATCGCTAAAAGCGTGAAATCGTTTTTTCACCAATCAAGAATTGAAATAGTCACCAGTAGCACACGCCGGTCCAATAATCACATCGACTTGTCGGTATTTGATCATATAGACTGGTAATCCCCGCTGCGTTGGCTTGGCGCAATCGGTGTAGTTGACTACGAATCTGAAAATTCAAACGTTTATTAGCTGGGCTGAAAGATCAAGATCGACCATTATGAATCTTCAAAACACCCACCGAAGATAGGGGAACAGGTGGGCTGCCTCGCTTCGTGGCTTACAAGACAAAAAGAATGCAAACAACTGCAGGAGCTAGGAGAATTCAAGAATGTTAACGAACTGGCTCCAGGTCTATTCAAATCTAGAGGCTTGCTTGTGGTAATAAATAAGAAAATTGTAGAGCCTAGCTTACGGATCTGTTTCCCGAACACTGACTCACCAAACAACATGTTTATCCAGTAGATGCTGATGGAATTTGTTGTAGAGCCAAAGGGATCACTCCTCCAGTGACTGAGAAGCCGATATTCGCTTGCTGGCTCGGGGTGACAATCATTCGAACGAGATACGTTGCTCTAGTCGCATTTCCAGATGTTGGAGTTGTTAGAGGTGGAGTTGTTAGAGTTGGAGCTGGAGTTGCTGGAGCTAGGGTTGCTGGAGTTGGGGGAGTCGCGAGATATTGAGCTGCTGGAGACGGAGTTGCTGGAGTTGGAGTAGTCGTTGACCTCAATGTGGTCGGAAAAAACACAAAAACTGTGGTAACTTTGATGTGGGTACATTGTGATGCACCAAATAGCAGTGTACGTGACATCCAGATTGATCAATTTAGCTTTTAAAACCTACCGTAATCCCTCCAATAGTCACACTGGATTGAGCTACCGTTTCTTGGAAGAAGAAACAAAACTAAAAAGCCAAAGCATTGTGTGAGTACCAGATAACAAAACGGAGAAAACTAAATTCCTATAAACCTGAGAAGGAGATTTTAAAAACAGGTAGTATTTCGGATGAGATCAGAAGATCAGAGAAGGGGGAATCTTTCAGTGGGGATTTCGAAAAGACTTCGAAAAGAGTTCCCTCCTCCCATCTTTTGTTGATTCTGATTGAAATGTCATTTCTGGCCGCATTTTTCGATCTTCGTCACCCTGGACGAACTTTTTTCAACTTTTTAATCCAAGTTTTGAGGTTTCTTGTTCAAAGTTTTCATTCAAATAACGATCAACTTTGGCCATTACCATCATTTCTCCAGTTTTTCAAGTTCAACAATCGAACGGGTCCTAGGGTAGCAATAGGATTTGCAACTCAAATAGATGATTTCATACAGTTCTCAAATGTCTTTAAGATTTGGGATTAGTCAGAAGTCAGAAGTAGCCAGAAGTGATTTGTTCTCAACCCTCAAGAAGCATTAACAGAGTCAATTTGTTTGGGTACACTGAAGAACGAAGAACACAACCAGTTTTCAGTTATCGATCAGACTACTGTAAATACTGTAATAGTACCCACCCCGATAATGACGGTGCGGGGAGGGTGCCATGTAGTCTAGCTTTAAAGGCATTTTTCGGACATTGGTTTATAAAGCAAGAATGTGTTTAGGTGTCAAAAAATAGCGGTGAAATTCAGGCTATTTTTGATACCTAAACGAGCATTGTAGCATAAACGAGTGTCGAGAAAACTTGTTTTTTCGGGATGGTTGCGTAGTCGGAGTAGACTTTCTGAAAAAGAGACCGTGGCAAAGTTCTGTGTTAATATTTCAATGATTTTCGTGATTTTAAAACAAATAATAGATTCACCTTGATTTAATAGCGTTTGACATTTTAGAGTTTTTAACTAATAAAAGGTAACAGGGTAACATTAATCTTTCCACTATTTTGAATAAACAAATTCTTCGATTGGCATTGTTGATGAAAAATCTGAACACGATTCGATTTCTATTAAATAAAAAACTTTTTAAACACACCGTAAATACTGTAATAGTACCCCATCCCCATAATGATTTTGAAATGAGTAGCTTTGTAGTTCCAGGGGTGAACGCGTTTCTTCTATTGACTCGCTTATGCTAATGTGGCAAAGCGGGGGAAGGTATCAAAAAATAGCCCTGAATTCAAATATTTTGACAATGATTACTTGAACGAGCATTGTAGTACAAACGAGCGCCAGTCGAGAAAAACGCGTTCAAAGCTAGACTACGAAATGTTCAAAGCTCAGATCATCACGAAACGTTCAAAGCTAGACCATAAGCAAAGTTCTGTGTTAGTTAATCTTTCTAATCAAACTCAATAGAAACAGCAATCCTTCTTCCACTTTAGTTTGATCCTGAAACAAATTAAAACCAAATATTGCTGTCAATATACCGTAACATATGTAATAGTACCCACCCCTGATAATGACGGGGCGGAGCGGAGCGTTGCGCCCGTCTAGCTTAGAACGCGTTTTCCTCGACACTCGTTTATGCTACAATGGGCGTTTAGGTATAAAAAATAGCTGAAATTCAGGGCTATTTTTTCATGGCCAATACGTACTTTTTTGAAAGTATTTGGCGCGAAGAAAAACAATGAAATACTAAAACAACTTTTATGACTACGCTGACTGTACGAAGGGGGGTCGGGTACTAAAACAGTATTTACGGTACGTTTAGTTGGAGGTTTAGCTGACTGTCATACACATTGAATGCACATCAATCGCTGTTAAATTTACAATATTCATTCTGATATCACTCGAAGAATTCAGATAACCTTTTACTTTTTCTTTTTCTTTTGCGTTGAAACTTTTCAACTTCAAAGCTTCAGAAAGCAATGTATGGGGCTTAACCTCGACTATTGATTAGTCAATAGTCGATTAGTCATTGATTGATTAGTCATTGATTAGAAAAAAAAAGCCGGAAAATAGATTTTGTAAAAAGTGGAAAGTTTGCAGGGGTAGGATTCGAAGTTGGGGCAAAGAAAGTGATAAGTTTCGGATAGTCGATCAGACGATCCACTAGGCCGCCGACGTATTTCTTTGGTTTTGGTGGCGTCTTCATTTTGGGGAAATTTAGGCCCTTTTCTATGCCAGATATCTCGCGATTGTAAAAGCGTTCTGCAAAAAAACTAAAAAGCGAATTCGAGTTGCCCATGACCGACTTCTATAAGATGGATTCCTCGAATCAAAAAGGCCACTTTCAGCTGGCATCAGTCCTTAGTGAGTGTTTTTCAGTCTTTTATAATTTAAATCCACATCTATCGCTGTTAAATTTAAAAATATTGATTCTGATATTATCAAAGAATTCAGATAACTAAGGCTTTCCTTTCCTTTTTGCGTTGAAACAACTTTTTGCTTCAGGCTTCAAAGGAAGTAAAGCTCAGGAAGCAAAGCTTCAGGAAGTAAAGCTTCAGGAAGTAAAGCTTCAGGAAGTAAAGCTTCAGGGGGAAGAAGTAGTTTTCCAGGAAGTAAAGCTTCAGGAAGCAAGCTTCAGGAAGCAAAGCTTCAGGAAGCAATTTATGAAGCTTAACTCTCGATCTATTGAAAAGAAAAAAGCTGGAAAATAGATTTTGTAAAAAGTGGAAAGTTTGGCAGGGGGGAATTTTTGAAGATTTTACGATTGTATGGCTTCTCAAACTTGTGATTCTCTCGTTACGTGTTTTTTTTTTGCTTTTGAGGCATCCTGGGTGCAAAAGTTTCAAATTGAGTTAGAAGTTTTGGTAAATGAGTCATAAAAAGTGGGAGAGATCAGTGAAACCGACAGCTTGGATACCCATAAGAAAAAGTCGACATTTTAGTTTTTACTCATGGAATTTTTTGGTTTTTGACCTTAAAACCAAAAAACATAAAGATTCCATGGTCAATATCAACTCTGGGATCAACTCTATCAGCTCTTGAACTCGAACTGTGGAAATGGACCTTGAGTTTTACTTTGGATTGAATTTTAAACTCTACCGTACTTGTCTGCTTGTCTGCTGTCTGCAACTGAGTTCTGCTTGTCTTCTTTTATCATAAAACGTAAGCTCTTCGCTGAGCCGCTGAGCTCGTTTTTGTTGTATCCAAGCATTACAACTAGTAATGGCTGGATGGTTGGATAGCTGGATGGCTGGATAGCTGGATAGCTGGATACGATGGCTGGATGGCTGGATGGCTGGATGGCTGGATGGCTGGATAGCTGGATGGCTGGATGGCTGGATGGCTGGATGGCTGGATGGCTGGATGTATTCTAGGGGTCTTTTGTTAAGACGTTTTCTAAGGAAAAGCTTATTTCTGGGGCTCTTTGAATCTGGTATCCGTGGCCATTGCTATGCTTTAAATTTGCCACAATGAAAATCCCTTTCAATTTTTGCAAACAAAGCTACCGTGTGCCTAAACTTTTTTGTGGAAAAATCACAATGTTTTCTTTGGCGTTTCCTCGCAATTCATAGAATTCAAGAGAAATAATAGAATTTTCTGGTAAAATATATAAAATTAACAATCAAAATCATTCAATCGCATCATCATCAGGTAATTCTTGTGTACTTGACGACTCCATTCTCGTCTGGTGGAGTTGTCGAAGTCTTTCTCCATCCATTGGTGGAGTTGTCGAAGTCTTTCTCCATCCATTGGTGGAGTTGTCGAAGTCTTTCTCCATCCATTGGTGGAGTTGTCGAAGTTCTCGTCGTGAAACGTGGCGGTTCGGGGGTAACTTGAATGTAAATCGGGGCTCTTAAAGTTTGAGTCTGCTTTAGATTTGCATACTACTACAATAAAAAGCTACCATTTGAAAAGCTACTGTATCCTCATACTTTCCAGCGCAACATTTATAATGCTTCTTGCCATTTCTCACAATTCATCAAATTTATCGAAATATTCGAATTTTTATGGTAAAATATATAAAATTACAATCAAAAATCTCATTCAATTTCATCATACTCAGGTACTTCCGGTGTTCTTTAATGATTCCGGCCTTTCGTCTCCATGATCCATTGCGGAGCTGTCGGGGTTCTCGTCGAGAAACGTGGCGGTTCCTGTGCTTTTGGCGGTGGCGGTAAATCGTCCTTCCTCACGGCATCGATTGGTAGAGTTGTTGTACCGATGGAACGAGCGTTCAACCAATACGTCTCCATCACGCCTTTCCCTAGATTATCGATTCAATGACATCTGTGATTTGAAAGATCTCTCACTTTTATGATCACTCTCCTCTTGATTCAACTTCATAGCCGCCGATTCGATCTTAGTAGAGAGCAAGGTCATTCGACATGTGAATTTTGCCAGCTGAAAAGCTGCCAGCTTTGAGGTTCTTGAAAAGATGTTTTGCTCACGTTTCCCGTTGCTTTCCATCCTGGATGCTGTGTTTACTGTGTCACCGAATAAAACAATATCTGAAAACATCAGGATTTGAGTGATACGGCACTAAAGCGAACACTTTTTCTGTCATTTAAGAGATTATGATTCAGGGCATTACGATGGAATTCCTTGCGTTTTAGTCCAAATCAACCTGGGGTCAGAATACGGGAACACTATAATAGTACCCCATCCCCCTCGTACAGCCGGTAATGAGGTGCGGAGCGTCTGCTCCGTGGGCTTGAACGCAAGGACGCCTGTTTATGCTACAATGCTTCGTTCAAAAATGCGTTCTTGGTACGCAAAAAACACAAAATTCAGGCTATTTTTTGATACCTAAGCGCGCATTGCAGCATAAAACCAGTGTTGAGAAAAACTTGTTCAAAGCCAGACTACGCAACGCTCCGCACCGTCATGGGGGGGGTGTGGGCTATTACAAAGTATTTACGGTAATTATAATACCTTGGCATGGCTAATCCGACTACTCCAGCCACACAAGAACCCGAATGCATTCCAATTCGGAGATTAATTGATTCAGAGGGGAGGTGAGGGATAACGGAAGAGCTGGAAAATTGAACGGTTATTAAGGTACATGAGTCTGTTGGTCTTTTGAGAGGATAGGTCAGCATTTCAGAAACCTCTTAAAATGATATAAGTTTGATGTTCTTATCAGAAACTCCTTAAATGATACATCAGGGAACCCCCTTAAAGTTGAATTTCAGGAGCGATCTGACTTGGAGATGAGAACATCCCGAAACCGCGCAAATCCCCTGTAGCTATCAGGCAGAGCTTATGAGGGTGCTTTCCACAGTTTTCTGTTAATCTTGCACTGCCAGCAGGCTAGAGAACAGTGTAGGCCTATCTACGCAAAAAAGCAGGCTGTTGGGTCAATTATCCAAACTCAGAAGATGTGTCACATCAAACTAATATCATTTAAGAGGTTTCTGATATGACCATA